CAATTCAACTAAAGGTCGAGAGTTGCACCGAAAGTAGACGCTTCCACTTGTGGCCATGAAGCACTTAGCGGAAGGTCATGGTCGACACACTAGAATGACGAAGGGAGGGTGGGTGAGCGGAATATGCTGCTCTATTCATCCGCCAGAGAGCGCCGCTGAATTGGAGCGTCCGTTTCGCGCGGGTGACTGACGATCCGATCCAGACGACCTCAGCGGAGAGCGAACCAATGGATTAAGACTATACTTTACAGGATCATTTCTGTAGTAGCATAGTTCTTCCTACTTTCCAATCTTGGAGAGTCCCAACCCACGATGATGAGGTTCCACCCTGTCTTCTGAGCGTGAGGCAGGCGGTCTGATCTGATGAAAGCCAGTCAGATTCGCCATCGATGATCGCAACCCTTTCGAGGGTAGGAAGAGAGGGGTCTCTGAGTGGTCACCATTTACATCTTGAACACCCCTACCTAAGCCCGATGGTTGGGCCCAACGATTACTGATCAAATACGTAAAACCTGGTCGCCATTGTACGCGAGTTTTCTTAGCAGAGTAAGAAGTGTTGCACAGCTGCTGTTAAGGCACCTGGCGGGCTGATTGTTGAAATAGGTGAGATGCGCTGGTCACAGAATCGTGTTTTGATGCTTGGCTCTTGTAGGAAAGCTAGAAATAATAAGATCCGTCCAAACCGGAACTGTCTACGGTCAATATTAACCGATATATCGCCCTTTCAAAAGACGGGTTTTTGACGTCATCCACCGCGGTAGTGACACCCTTGGTTTCTTCTATCTTGCTTTCATCCTTGTTTCTCGTTGAATAACCAGTGCTGATGTGCGTCACGCCGACTGATGAAAGCAAGGTGAAAGAATTCGAGGACGTCAGTACCGCGGTGGATGACGTCAAACCCGGATTGACCGCTCAGGTACTCACCGCAAGTACCGACATTACTAGGTAAATCAGGAGTGGTCAGGGAAATGGTTGTGCACTGTTTGGAAAAAGTGCGGATACTCGGAAAAGGCACGGATATTGGAAGGTCAGTACGGAAAAGGTACGGATTTTCCGCGAAGATGTTCGGAAATTCGAGTAATAATAAGATCTGTCCAAACTGGAACTTTCTACAGTCAATATTAGCCGAGATATCGCCTTTCCAAAAGACAGGCTTTTGACGTCAAGTATTGCGGCAGTGACACCCTTGGTTTTTTCTATCTTGCTTGTTGTCCCTCATCAGAAACTTTAAATACAATTAATCAATCCTTTTCTCATAATAATGTCTTTGTGTCTACAATATTTTTCCCGAGTTACATTTCTTTAAACTTTTCGATAATTCGCATCAAGCTGGCAGTGACGCTGATTACCGGGGGTTGGGCACGGAGTGGTTAGGGGGCGGAAGCACCCTAGTAGTTTCAAAAATCTGATGAAGTCACCGTAAGATCCATCACTACACAGATTAATCATCGGCTGAGACGTAAGCATGTAAGCAATAAGACGTCGTGAAGAGCCTTGCTGATACTGAGTACTGAAGGAAAACTACGTGAACAAAGAAAATCTGAAAAGAGCGGCGAGTACCCATGAGGAACCACGTTGATATGTTGAAAACCGAGGTAAGCCTCATGTCCAAGGAAAGGCTAGATGAAAATTCGTGAAGGACAGCAAGACTTAGTTGAAAAACTTAGAAATGTAATACGCGAATCTCCTCGTGAAACTGCAAAAACATAATGTGATTAAATCCCAGTCTCGGATTAATTGCAAATTAAGTCACACCTGGACCAATATTAGAAACCGCAATAGTCACGTGACCGTCACACATAGGAGGTCATACGGCCCTCCACGTTGATACATTTTCATCTACCTTAATTACTCGATCCTGGAAAGTTTTCATTCAATAAATGAGGAAAAGCACGTGGTATCCGTTTGCAGCATAAACTGTTAGATAGTAGTTGCCAATTCTATGAATGAAATGAAAAAAAGGGGGGAGGGGGAATGAGCCCGAAAGTATATAAGAAAAGACAAGAGGAGGGTGGCGGAGCCGGCAAGACAGAGAAGGGGGAGGCAGGGTAAATCAGAGGCTCCTGAAAGGAGCTGATAACGGAGAGAGACAAAAAGGAATAGGGGTAGAGACGCGCGGGAGGAAGGAGCAGAATGAGAGAGGGAGAGAGAAACGGATAAATACGAGAGGAGAAAGATGTAATACGATCGGGTCGAACCACCATTTACAAAAGGGGAAGAGAGAAAAAGAGAGCCGAGGTCCGCCCCTCCGTAAAATGGACTAGTCCGTTGATGACGAAGCCGGATACGAAGTACGCCACGTGACGTCATCGAAATGTGGGTACTTTTCTGGAGTTTCCGGTAACCTAGGCGACGCAACGTTCGCGAAAAAGTTACCGTAGGTATGCATCGTTGGTCGCAGGCATGTTGCACCGCCGCCTGTTTCGACAAGATCGAGTGAGTACGGACGGATTAAAATTGTTTTTTTTTGGGGGGGGGGGGGNAAAAGGAAAAAATTAGGAACGACCCAAAAACTATGGTCATAACTCCACAGGGAATCTACGGATTAACGTATTTTCAAGAAAATTGAAGAAAATACGATTAAACCCGGAATTTTTTTGAAAAATTGAAGAAATAGGGGAAAAAGTGAAAATAATGAAGAATTTTCGAGGAATTGAAAATATAAAAAATTTTCAGGAGAATTGTAAAAAAATGAAAAACTTAAAAAAAAAAACTTAAAAAACTAGGAATTTTCAAAAAATTTCAAGACTGAAAAACTTGCAAAAAACTTAAAGTTTTTGGGGAAAATTGAAAATTTCAAACTTTGCGAAAAATGGGTTTTCCGTGCAAAGAGTCCTTTAAATAGATTAGGTGCTAGTTTTAAAAAATTGGAAACATCTCCAAACTTGGACTTTCAAAGTAATCTCCAGAAAACTTTAAAAGAAAAAAAGAAAAGAAGGGGAGAGAAAAAGAGAAAACCCAGTATAATGACTCCAAAGGAAAACAATAAGTGGAGAAAAACTCTTGTCATGGTTTCCTTCAGTTTTACAGTCATTATTTTCTCAGCATCCAGATATTTCAATGTCAATCTACAGCTGGCAAACACTTAATAAATGCTTGAAAATTGCAATTTTTGCGACCTCCTTTGACAACATCATGTACAGTACAATCGAGGTGTGTCGACAAAAAACGGGCCTTAAAAATTATGTAGTAACAACAGATCAAATATCCATTACATTTAGGCGTCGAATGACTGGAACACTCGTAATCAGTGGCCTTGGAGAGACAGGAGAGCAAAAGTCGATGAGATGGCTACATACTGAATGCAACAGATGGTCAGAAAATGACGGTAAGTAACGATTTTCTGGCAATGAAATTTTTCAATTCATTGTTTTTCTCCTCCATAATTAGGGGATACAATTTTGTAAGCACGGATTCTTTTTAAAGGCAAGGAAAAGTTTCTGGAGATAGTAGATGAGAATGCAAGTATTGTTCTTCAGAGGAGCGTCTTTTCATTACTTGGATTTTGATAAAGTTTGAAATAGGTGTGCTCTCCTAACAATTTTGCAATCAGCAAATACAGCAAGCAGATGGGAAATTTTGGGCTGTGAGAAATATTTCAAAAGCACTGCACTTCATTATTTGGAGAAAGTATGACAAATGGTATGTCCTAAAGTATGAGGGTGTACAGTACAGCCATGAGACTGAAAATTTGTGTGTGAGCCAAATTAGGAATTCAACCGAGAGGCAATAACACCCTGACACAAAAACCAATGAAGGTTTTTGAACATTTTGCACCCTGAATAAGGTAAGTATGCATGGCACAGATAAATTCAATTGCATGATTTTATATTGAGAATTCTATGAAATTTAAAAGCCGGTGTCATACCATGCTGCTGCTTTCTTAGTGCAGTACTTAACAGCAGCTCTCTAGCAATTTTTACTGGAAACAAGACCAATTTCATCAATGACAAAAAGAAACTTCTTACCTTTCTTCTTCTGAGCAGCCGCAGCAGAGGCTTCTTCAGCTGTTAAATCCCCAGGTTTAAGAACGACGACAGTTGGCTGGTCCTCTTCTCTATCCTCTATATCATCAGCGTTGTCATGAGGTAAACGCTCTCTCTGAGACATACATGCAAAAAGAAAAAAATTGAACATTGGGAAGATCAAATTCAATCTAAGTAAAACTAGAAAAACATGAATGTAAAATCTGCATAAAATATATTGGCAGTTGTATATTCTTTATCATCATGCACCACATATGCAGTCAACCAAACTTCATACCTGTGCACAGGGATGCTGACAGTTCTTAGCCTTCCCATGTCATAAATCCCTTTTCCTTCAGAAATTTCAAAAGTACTTATAACTTTTTCGTGGCTACATGAATATCAATTGTCGCAAATTTAGAAAACCGCAAAACACACTTGATTTTTATCGTAACTTTACGGAATATTCATGATTGTTATCGCAGCTTCCAAAAACAACAGCAATTTTGCCCGCTTTCCCATTTAAAAACACCAAATTCAAGGCATTCACATTTACACATGCAACCAATAGCAACCTGCCTTATTGCATGGTCAAGAAGTTTTTGCACCCCTGCCTGCGCACAATAATAGCATCACCACATGATTTTCAAAATGAGCAGTGAAAGTACTAGAGCTCGCACATCGTATGTTGAGACAAACGTCAATCTCCGATTAGCTCTAAATTCACACCACTCGACAGGTTTATACGTGTAGTCAGGTGGGACCACTGGTGAATGGTGACATGAACAATTCTTTGACGTTTGTCTTGACATACGATGCGCGAGCTCTATGTCTCAACATGTTGTGAACACATGAAGGATTTTATCTTCAGTGACCAGGAACACTGACCAACATCAAATTGCGCTCGCAACTAATCACCTAATGATGGAGATTGTACCATCAATCAGAGATCTTGTACCTATGCTTATAACACATCTGTATGAAAAGTTATCGGACTGGTTAATACTAGGTGAAGGAGTAGCTGTCTCACAGTAACTGACCTTTGTGTCAACGGTGGGCCCCTCGTCGCGGTATCCGATTTCTGCCTTTAATTTGGCCAAGAAGGAGGGCTCCCTCGGTTTTATGTAGGCGACCTGCTTCCGTTTGGACATCTCATGGGAGATGCAACACTTGACATGACACTCAACAACACTAATATAAGACACGAACGAAATTATTGTAACTGCCCTTTCAAAATCTTAACCTCGAAAACGCCGATCACTGGACAGGACACGATGAGAGCCAGAACACAATCACAAATCACGCACGAACACAAAAATTTTGTATCGGAATTTTTGACTAAAACGAGGGTTGGGGGATGATAACCGACTCGATCGCGAGGCAATTTGTTCGGGAGGGTTTACTCAGGGACACGATGAAAACGCACGTCAAAAAGTAAGACATAACACACAAACACAGCACGACCGCCACGGTTCGGGTGGCAAGCAGAATTTGACTAATTTGACGTGCGCGTTGAAAATGGTGCATGTTGAGGTTGACGCATCCGCATCCGCCAGGTCACACCGCACCGTTGTCACACATCAATTTGACATCAATGCATGCACGCTGTGCAAATATAGCGCTCTTTTTAAAGTGTTCATCATCTTTATTGCCTTTTGATCTAATAACATTTAACTAACTGCTTTTCGGTTATTTTAATACATCTAAATATTTCTAATCTAATTTTCCCCACCGTTTGGGTGTTTTACTTGGGGACCGCTCATACTCATAAAATCCGTAACGCCCTTGGGGGTGTGTGTGTGTGGGCGGAGGAGGGGAGGGGGGGACGAGGACAGCGTTACGCGTTGCGCCATTTTGTTTTCACGTGATAAAGGATTAGAGGGACTCGCGTCACAAAAATGTAGCGGGGGGGATGAAAAACCCGAAATTTAAATTTACGTAATTTATGAACGACCATTTTTTAGCAACACCACACCATGGTTGGAAATTTCTTTAAAATTTCTTGGATGATTCTCCTGAGGTTGGTAAAGTTTCTGAAAAGACCTCTCAAACCTCAAGCTTTTACTAAAAAACCTACCCCTTCACAA